GCGTTACATCTTTCTCTCTTTCCTCACCCGCTACTTCGACTATTCCAGCCACGTGGGCTAGCACTCTCTGCAGAATTGATGAAAATTCCAACATTTTCTCTTCTTCGTCTACTATGACTTCAACGACGTCTGTAATAAATACGTCTTCGTCTTCGTCGTCCCGAACGATATTTCCAGTTTCTTCTGTGCTAGATTCATCTTCCGATCCTCCTCTCTCAACTTCTCTAACCTCCGCGACAAGTTCTTCTTCAACTACGACTGATGCTCATTCTAAGCAAGGACGATATAGAAAACCTGGCACAATAGCGCAAATACAGTATCAGAGTAAGTTTTTATCTTTTCATGTGATAACCTTTTTTCAGCATGAAAGAAAATATTCCTATTAAAATCTGGTTAAATATTTTTGGTCAAAATTTATATTTTCTCATTGTTCATGGTTTAATAGAAACTGTTACAATAAAGTATGTCTGTGTATAAACGTAATTGCTCTATTCTGTTTATTGGGAACGGCACCTTTACTTTTTCCGTTCTTGATAATAGTTTATCCGTTCTGGAGTAAAGTCAACGTAATTGATAATAACAAAAGAACTGTCGCAGAAGGGATGATTGTACCTGGATTTCAAACGGAAGAGGATTGTGTTAGAAGTGGTGGTTTCAGTCGAAAGATATATGTAACTAAAGTTTTAGGTGTGTGGTTATTTAAAATGACGTTCAGTGTACAGTGAAAATGTGCTGTTCTAATACATAGTTAAATCAATTTATATTTGTTCTGTCATAAACATCGAGCACTCGATACTTAGATATTTTCCTTAGAACTTTCGAGTGCCAGTACAGATTAGATTTTCTAAAGTCATTTAAATTCATGTATTTAGATGATGTTGCTGGTGATGTATTCAGCGATATTGTTGAAGGAAAATACATTATAAGAGCGTTTTCCAATATACAACCTGTGTCTGAAATTGAAGAAGGTATAGGTGGCTTGGTGGGATTTGGAATTTCCAGACATGGCAGAAGGATAAAATTAAAAACTGCACAGGAAGAGGTGTGCGGTGCAAGATCATGTCAGGTTCCCCAGGCACATAATTCTACTTGCGGAGTTCAAAGAAGGTCTGTGCAGTGGATAGCATGTGATGCTGTTAAATGCAATAATAAGTGGCTTCATCGTCAATGTGCTGGCGTAGATGACATCAATGACCAAGAGTTACCACGGAAATGGTTTTGCGGCTGTTCAAAATTTTCACCAAAGGATATATTGGGGTAAGCACAGTCCATCTTGTCCGCCTGTGATCAGACATGTCATATACATTTATTTTTATTCTTGCTATTTCTTTTTCCTTAATATATTTTAGGAGCGAAAAACGACAGTACCACAAACTTGGCGACATGCTTGCTGTCCTTCCAAAAGTTGAGGTCTGTGTGTATTCCTGCTTTTAACAATAAAGCTTGATATGATTATTTCATTCAGAGTAATGTAACTTTATTTCCATTGAACTTTGTCGAAATTTAGAATCATTTGCGAAAGGTTGTCGCTGAAGAAATTGCGAGTATTCGGCACATTCTTTGGACAAAATACTCAAGACGAGAAAGACAACCAATCTTCGAACGTCTGATATCGGGAATACAGCACCCTTTATCCGAGGAATTGGTAATGTTCTTAAAATTCTTTTAAAGATTTTCTACGCAATTCCAAAAGTCCACAACTCCTTAACTGTCTTTCTAATTATCATGCACTTGTAGTTAGATGATTTCCACGATATCATCAATGGATTGTTTCTTTCTCCTGAACGGGAATGGACTGACGAGTATACAAGCCGAATGGATTATTGTCACAACGTCCTTTTACCTGAGGTAGACATTTTTCAAATTTAGTACTTAATTTAATTCATATGCTGAATTTTTCCCAAAAAGTGACTCAAACGTTTTCCCATTAAAGGCATTTGTCAAGTTTGTCATGGAAGTAGAGGGAATGAATCGACACATTGCAGAAGAGCTTGTTTTTGCATGGACTGAGAATATTCCAACACTCCTTGCAAAACATGCTTCTAAAGATAACCCATGTAACTGAAATAGCAATATTAAAAAAAAGTGAACATTTTTAATATGAAAGAAAATATATACCATTAACAATTTCTATCTAATAAACAGCTATTGACATTAGCATTACATTCCAGCCTCGCTAGTATAACAACTACTGAGATTAGAATTACATTCCAACCTCACTAGTATAACAACTACTGAGATTAGAATTACAATCCAATCTCGCTAGTATAACAACTACTGAGATTAGAATTTCATTCCAACCTCGCTAGTATAACAACTACTGAGATTAGAATTCCATTCCAACCTCGCTAGTAAAACAACTACTGAGATTAGAATTACATTCCAACCTCGCTAGTATAACAACTACTCAGATTAGAATTACATTCCAACTTCGCTAGTATAACAACTGCTGAGATTAGAATTACATTCCAACCTCGCTAGTATAAAAACTACTCAGATTGGAATTACATTCCAACCTCGCTAGTATAACAACTACTGAGATTAGAATTACATTCCAATCTCGCTAGTATAACAACTACTGAGATTAGAATTTCATTCCAACCTCGCTAGTATAAAAACTACTCAGATTGGAATTACATTCCAACCTCGCTAGTATAAAAACTACTCAGATTAGAATTACATTCCAACCTCGCTAGTATAACAACTACTGAGATTAGAATTACATTCCAACCTCACTAGTATAACAACTACTGAGATTAGAATTACATTCCAACCTCGCTAGTATAACAACTACTGACATTAGAATTCCATTCCAACCTCGCTAGTATAACAACTACTGAGATTAGAATTACATTCCAACCTCGCTAGTATAACAACTACTCAGATTAGAATTACATTCCAACTTCGCTAGTATAACAACTGCTGAGATTAGAATTACATTCCAACCTCGCTAGTATAAAAACTACTCAGATTGGAATTACATTCCAACCTCGCTAGTATAACAACTACTGAGATTAGAATTACATTCCAACCTCGCTAGTATAACAACTACTGAGATTAGAATTACATTCCAACCTCGCTAGTATAACAACTACTGACATTAGAATTCCATTCCAACCTCGCTAGTATAACAACTACTGAGATTAGAATTACATTCCAACCTCGCTAGTATAAAAACTACTCAGATTGGAATTACATTCCAACCTCGCTAGTATAAAAACTACTCAGATTAGAATTACATTCCAACCTCGCTAGTATAACAACTACTGAGATTAGAATTACATTCCAACCTCACTAGTATAACAACTACTCAGATTAGAATTACATTCCAACCTCTATGTAATGTAATTCTAATCTCAGTAGTTGTTATACTAGCAAGGTTGGAATGTAATTCTAATCTCACTAGTTGTTTTACTAGCGAGGTTGGAATGTAATTCTAATCTGAGTAGTTTTTATACTAGCGAGGTTGAAATGTAATTCTAATCTCAGTAGTTGTTATACTAGCAAGGTTGGAATGTAATTCTAATCTCACTAGTTGTTATACTAGTGAGGTTGGAATGTAATTCTTCTAATCCGAGTAGTTTTTATACTAGCGAGGTTGGAATGTAATTCTAATCTCAGTAGTTGTCATACTAGCAAGGTTGGAATGTAATTCTAATCTGAGTAGTTTTTATACTAGCGAGGTTGTAATGTAATTCTAATCTGAGTAGTTGTTATACTAGCGAGGTTGGAATGTAATTCTAATCTCAATAGTTGTTATACTAGCGAGGTTGGAATGTAATTCTAATCTGAGTAGTTGTTATACTAGCGAGGTTGGAATGTAATTCTAATCTCAGTAGTTGTTATACTAGCGAGGTTGGAATGTAATTCTAATCTCAGTAGTTGTTATACTATATATATATACGCAACATGCGATAAAGATGTTTAAAGGTAAATATATATATATAGATATATGTACTTTGGCTTAATCGAATTATACATCTTATTTTTACTGACACCATCAATATTAAGTGGCAGATAATAAATATAATATCAATATTAATAATTTTAATAATCAATATTAAAATGAGATCCATGACCACAGTTAAGAAAATTACTTTTTAATATGCTATAACTTAAGAGATGATCCACGGAGAAACATATGTAATATTTTTATATAACATTTCTACCTTCAAATATAAAATTATAAAATAATATTACACTAATATCGCAAGCTGGCTTCTCGAAAAGAGTTCTAAGGCCTCTGTAAAGTGGGATACGCGAATCCTGTACCATTTTTTACTATATTCAGTGAAATTAGGCTGAAATCTTTCAGAAGGGCATGCGGTGTTATCTGTGTAAAAAAGATATGCTTTCATTTTAAAATGGAAACGTTTTGTGATCACTTTCAAAGTTTAGAACCAGCTCCCGATTCCCAAGCCCTTGCCCATAACATTCGTTTAAAAATATTGACTCTCGAGGTTTTTAAAAATATTAACTCTTAAGGTTAATACGTTCACGGCAACAAGGAACATAACTTATCGTAATTATGGCTACTCTGGTTTGTTTAATGAAATTAATCACCACACAAAGATAATGTAACCCTGGGTCGCGAATGTCTTTGTGTGGTGATTACTTAAACTATATCGAGTAGCCATAATTGAGATGGATATTGATCCTCTTACACTACGTTTTCTTTACTCATGTCCAGAATCATCTGTTGAAAAGTCGGAGTTGGATGCGCTTGAGTCATTGTAATCTTCGACTTGACTGTTTTCTATAGTTGAAAGCGATTGACTAAATTCAATTGATGGCAAAGTGATATAACTTTTCAGTAAAGAGTGCATTGATAGAAGTCGGTATTGGAGAATCTTTTGCTTTGATTTCAACAATGAAATTGAACCCATTTGGTAACTAGAGACCAAACTATCCACGGAGAGTTGGTTAATTGTAGCCGCCACATATTTCTCTTGGTTTTGGTAATAGAAAAATACTCGCATCATTTCTTGCTCTTCCTCTTTGCTCCGCCGTACAAGATGTTGCATGTCTATTGCTTGGCGCCGAACTGTGTATGGTATCTAGACCGCAGAATCACTGTCACGTTCGTCAAGTGGTTGGAATCCTTCTACCGCAACCATCAGATCACTAATTTGAACTTCTTTAAAACCTCGTTTGTTTTCGTCCGATAAAGAGTCGCGTGTGCTGTGATACTGGACAAGCATTTCCTTTAACTTTTTATCACAATTTTTTACTTGCTTTGCAAGTTTCTTAGACAAAGCATGACCATCTATAAATTGCAATTAAGACTCAATAAAACACGCATTTAAAATCGTAGTGATTGCCTATGCTAGAAACATTAAAACGACTTTTCAGCACTCCTAGATACGCATTAAAAACCATACCAGAATATTTTTCTTTCAGTTTTAGCAAAAAAAGACGTTCCTGCGAAACAGGCTTAACGTTTTCCAAAAATTGATGGCATTTGGAAACGAGTTGTTCCTGTAATGCTTCTTGGTATGAGGCATCATTCGGTGTCCAGCGAACAACGACATTATTCTCTGTTTCAAGGGCGCGTAAGTCTTTATCCAATCTGAAATTATCGAGAAGCCAGCTCGCATGCATAATTCAACTATAATGCAGACAAATAAGAAATGTTTGGACTCTTTGAGGAATACACTTTACCTTGAAATCTTTTTTACAATATCTGGTATTTGCTCATCATTTATTGAACCTTCAGCACATAAGTTGTTTCTATAAATAAATGTCGATTTAACAAAAGGTAATGAAATCAAAGATTATTTGAGAAACTATCGGAACTAACCTATACTTAAAGTAGTACAACATAAGGTACAGTACCTTAGCGAATAAAAAATTTTCAATTTATCCATATAAATTGACGTCCATGTCAAGGTAGCACTCTCCGTAGCTATTTCTCTTGTTCCTATATACATATAATTTTCCCATTTATTATAGGTAGCTAAGTGCAGGCTCATATCCGTGCATACATTGATTAATTTCAAAATTATACTACAAGTCATGAAGTGCATGTTCGTCCTATACATACATATTTGATAGTTTAAAATGGCAATCAAAAGAACACCCTAAAATGCAATATCGTACCTTGATTACCACATACAAGTTGACGTTCAGCTTCAGCAAATTGTTCAATCAAAGAGTCAGTCAAAGTAACTATATACATATCCAAACAAACAGAATAGAATTAAAATTGTGAATAATAATTAGGAAAGTTCTTCGCATTGGAATATGTTTTATGAGCTTTCAATTGATACTTTCGTAAAAGGTCAAACATACCAGGCGAATTAGTAGCTAGTTGACGAATGCTTTCACTACTTGCTGCCAGGCAATCGTTTGCCTTTTTCCAATTTTTAATCAACTTTGGAACTGTAAAAGTTTGTAAAAGTGTAAGATACTGTATAATAATATGCATCTACTTTTAATGGTGCTGAATCGAAGCTGCTGGCTTGCAGTAAATGAGAAAAACATCGATGCAACAAGTTATATTCGCTAAGTTCATTCATTAAATCTATGATTACCCAGGGTGTCTTTGCAGTGTTGAGCATAATGAAGAATGGCATCACTTAACACATCTACTCTATGAGATGGTCGCATTTCTTTCGTCATTTTACCAAACCGGCGAAGATATGACCACAAACGCTCTAGTTGCTCTCCATCCGTCAAACCAAAACCACTGACTCGCCTCGGACTGAATTGAAGCTATATAAAAATGACGATATTAAATGAACACATTAAGCACACATACTTCCACATTATTCATGCAGTAGATGCATATAATATTGAGTCGAGTGTTTTGTCGACTATATAAATGTTTCTATATATAGTGAAGCGCTCCAATAAGCCATGACGCAGAATTAGGAGTTCATATATATGGATGTACCTGACAAGAACCTTTGTGTCCATATATATGAAATGCAGGTACCGCCAGTGTTATTCTCTGAAGCAAATCATCTTCAGCTGATGCCTAAATCGATACATTAGTAAAAAAAAAAATACGTAACTTACCGTATTAAGATAAACTATGGTTGCATAGTTTCAGACGATTTACCTTCAAGTGCTTCTGAAGTAAACAAGCAATGTCATACATGATTTTTATTTCAATGTTCTTTCCTTCATTTTCACTTGCAATATTTTTTAAAAGCCATACTGCATATCCAATTCTAAAGTAGTTATTTAACATGTAATTGATAAACAGAAAAATGTCCAGAGTTGGAACAATGAATTGGGCGACAATAGAACTAATTAATGTTGGAAGTTCACACAGTAAGTAAGTGATCTTATATATTACAATGAGTCTACAGTAGTCACATGAAGTTCCGTTGGCGTTGCATGACATGCAAACAATATTTGGCATAATAAATCCGCATAATGGTAATATTTTCCACAAACCTTTCCCCATGCTTTAGGTTGAGAAAATGCTTCGGGAAACCATGTCTACAAGCACTGCCAAACACTGCTGTTTCATCTAATGCCTTATATTGACTAGTCGAACGTAATACATTACCAGCTTTAAAATCACTGCAATCCTTAAAATAATTATAAAGCATATTTTATATTTATGTCGAAGGTTAGGGTTAGGGTTAGGCGGACTTTGCTCATAAGATGCAAACCTTTTTGATAGTTTGCTGCTTCGTCTTGGAATAATCCGCAATGAATTTGTCCACAACGTCTTGGCTTTTAAAAATATGGCAACCGTGCAACGGCTCTCTGACACTGCAACCAGCACTTTTTTTTCGTGGAAGACCAAACAAAGCATCGAACGACTCTATAAGCACACCTTCGTCCTTAATTTATTAAAAGGGAAAGTTGTTTAAGTTTGACAGTAGCGTAAAACACTGAAAAGTTCTTCAAAAACTTCAACACTCACGGAAGGACATGCAGGACAAACATTGCCATAATCCCTTTCCTCGCAAACACTTTGTAAGGTACGTAATCTATGTTTGAAATATCTAAAAACAAAGCGAAAATTTATCCATGCTAGAAAAGAAAAAGGAAACCATGCAGATGACTTTTTCTACCAAATCTGACTCAGACTTTGACTGCAGATATAAAAAGTCGTCCGTAATTCCGCATGTAGATGCACATGTACAGTATGTTTTTTACCTGTATTCTTCAAAACAATCAATGATAAAGGCATATATGTTCTTCCTCTAGATAAACGAGATTTTGTTATAATTCCCTATTGTTAATATCTTTGTGATATGCATGCAGCCAGCAAACTGTTCGTAATGAACTTTGCGAACTATAGTGTCTTAATTATAAAATTGATCATGATGTCTACATAGGTACACAATATGCAATTATTTCACTTACAACAACATAGGCAGGTAGTTTATGATTTAATGCCTTGCAAAAGTCATTTAAAGACACTTGACACTCCAACAACATTGCCTCCATCCAATCCAGAAGCTCAAAGGTCAATGCATATGATGGTTGTTTAGAGCTGGTTGGCCAAAGTCGCAATCTTGCGAGGGTCACAGAAAATGGTTCACACTTGCATGCAACTACACCAATCTGATGTTGAGTTCCTTCAAAAAATACTTATTGTGACATCTATTGTGTTAAGAAATAAGCCTTTATAACAAGACCAATATATTAAAAACAGGGACAATGGCAACTATACATCACGTGTATAATGTTTATATGTGAAACAAAATACTGCATATTTATATAGCTGCCAATGAATAGTTCATTATCTTATCTTATCTTATCTAGCCATTAGGCCATATTTTGCATTGATCAACAAGTTAAAAGCTGTTTCGCTCTAATTGGAGCTCATCAGCACAGTGTAGCCACTTTAGATATGCATCTGCACATTCAGATAAACTTCATTTATAACAATAGGTTTTAGTAAATATGGAGTTTGTAAGCTTAATCCTAAAACAATTATAAATCATTGTTATCACATTCTGTTTGTATTAATACTTAAGGATTACCAAAGAAGATTTTCATACATAACAATATTTAAGTATATTGCTAATTTACTAGACTTGCTTTGTTGATATTTAATTAGGGTTATACTGAATGTGACTGTCATAAAAAATCATGTGGCAACTGTGTACAGCTAATCTCCCATCTCTTTTTTTAGAAAAAATAAATATATAACCAAATGTCATTCCTGATACAATTAGGTATCATGAATGCATGCCTCAAGTTTACATGCAGCCACGTAGCATATAAATGTGGTGTTCTTGGATTTCAATTTGAATAAATAGTATATTGTTCTCCACATAATTTTGATACATTTAACACAAAGATATAATTAGTTACACCTTAGTTACACCAAATACTCTTTCCTGGCAAAACAATGGCAAAGGTGTAGACCTATTGGTTATTCAAACTTATGGGGGCCTAATGTCGACATGCATTGCGTGACAATTGATAAGCAAACTTCACATCCTACAACATAAATACTGTTAACAAATACCAGTATTCTTGCTCGCACATTTGCCTTACCATGTTCACTTATTACGGTAATGTTTTTTGTCTCCAACATTTGGCATGAGTGTAAAGGACGAGGATTTAACACAGTGCCAACCATTGTGATAGGTAGAAACATTCCATCCTGATAAATTTATAGAAACCATTCAATTAACAAAATGCATTTGAGTGTTGGATGGTGCACAAGTATACAATAGACCTTTTACTGTATAGTTCTATAATTACATACACCACAACATTGGGGTAGCATATGTTCTGTTTCTTGCCAAAATATTATGTACTATCATTAATTTAGTCCCCATAGCTACTGTTAACCAGCAATTGCCTTATTAACTATGTCATGTCAGCATGCGAGAAACACTGGAGACCAGGACAGTGGGAGAGCATTTTAGAGAATTGCAAGACAATTTCTTGGGTTATTAAAATTTATAATTGATACAGACATAATTAATGGCCCAGTGCACTTCACATAGGCAGTGTGCAGCTATTCCCAGAGGATTTAAAACTACAATAAGAATTGCACCATGTTGGATGATATTAAAATAGCAAAAAAGAAAATCCTTTGTGAACTGTGACCCAACATAACAACAACAGACATTAACTTCAACACCAAAGTTCTTAATAAATGAAATACTGAAAGTCAACTTGCCTTCCATTCCTCGACAACATGAAAAACATTGTAATTATTATGTACAGCAGACACACATGAACCACAGTAAAAAACACCTGCTCCACAGCCAAGACATGCAACGAAACACTGCAGGTGCTGTTCTGCAGTTTGTACATAAACAACCATCTGGTAACCATTCAGACTCAATTACTGCCCGTAATATTTCATCACGGACATTCTCCCAGCCCTTAGCTGCTCGCTGTTTCTTTTTGCGATATTGACTGATATTTTCGTCAGCATGCGCATCGTGATCATCAGCCTCATCCTCGTCCTCTTCATCGTCAGCTTCGTTTCCAACGTCATGGTCGTCTAGTGTGTCCTCCAATGGCAAAATTATCTCTGGAGTCTCATTTCCATGATCCGTCTCAAGTAAACATGGAGTTGTAAGCGTAACTCGTCTTTTTGAGGTCGATTGAGAAGTCGACGAACTACCACCAAACGATACAACTTCCATAGCCGGTAAACGTCGCTTTATATTTCGTTTGCGACCCATATTTTGATCTTAAATTATCTTCAGACGTATATCATTCATGGAATTTTATAAAATATATAGAAAATTATATTTACTCGATCAGTCAACGGTCAAATTAAAGCGAGAAATTTTCCTCACTCCTAGAGCTTTCGCCATATTGTTATCTTCTCGGCCAGCACCATTAGGACTGGTACAAGAGAATCAATTCTCTGGATTGGTCGGGGTTAGTAACCTGCCTACTATAAAGACTGCCGCCTGCGACCAATCTTTTAGACAATATACTAGGAGAATTCTGGCGAAACGGGTGTACGAACATAG